GATGTTAAAGGTATTTCTTAGTGATGCTGTAGAAGAAAAGGTGGCATTTCACATCGGGAAGGCAGTGGAACAATAGTTGGGATTGTGTGAAAAGTCTCCGATTACAAGGCTGAACGATCATAAAGATAGTAGAGTTGTACAGTGTGACAAAGACAAGACTGGAAAGGACATTAAGACCTCCGAAATTTCTCCAGCTTTCAGTGATGATATTAGTCAGTCCTGTGCTTCCAATAAAGCAGAGTGCTTTGCCTTTAGTCTTTGTTAGTTGCTATAAATCGTTGTGTCAGCCTCCAGGAGTGATGGGGCAGTGTTAGAAACCTTCCAGTATTGAGAGCATCTCCTCTGGGTCAATTCCAGTGCAAAGAGAGATTAGTTACGTGCGCATGAAGTATCCTGCACATTTTCTGTGGATAAATAGAAAGCGGATTCCAGGTCTGTCAGTCAGAAAACTTTATGAGTGTGCTTGAGGAAAAAATAAAACGAGAAACTATTTCATTTAGAGTGTACTTTGTGTTGTTGCTTTTGAATGCAATGAATAAATTGTAGGAGGCAGAGCAGACATAGTAAGCAGTGATACCAAATGGCTGACTTGCTTTTAAAAGTCTCCTTGGGATGTTGTTGTAAAGCTGCACAGTGATTTGGAGCCTCCTCAGGTGCTATCCTTCCTTCAGCTGAAACACCACCTTCCAGGTGGTGACAAAGCCTGAAAGGAGAGACCAGGAAGCTAATTTCTGTTTGGAAATGCTCCGGATGATAGAGAAGAAAGCTTCTGGGTCAGGAAGCATGTGTGCTCTTCAGCAGTGGTCTGAAAGGAAGGGTAAACCTGAAAACTGGCTCGGCATTGTGGCCGCTTCACTTGCAGTGTTTAAACTCATTAAAAACTCGCGGAAACATTGATCGGGAAAGGCAATGACCCCGTACTCTGAGGACAGCATGCTAAATTCCTATACCTCAGCCTCTTGTAGCACAAATGTCTTAGCTGAAGGTGGACATTCAAAAGATAAATGGGTTGCTGCAGTTGTGTTTATTGGTTCTTCTTTCTTTTAATTTGAGGCAATGGTGGTATATTTTCTTTCTTTTCCAGTTTATCATCATTGAAGTCAGCGATGGTATTTCAGTTTTACTCTCTCTCTCCCCTAGAAATCCCAGGAAAGAGTTTTGTTCACAACTTTAGCTAGGTTTTTGGTCACTTGCAACATGGTTTGAATAGAAGTAGGATTAGATTATGTACATATGAAATAGAGTGTTATTGCCACACAGCAATGTTGTTTTGTAGATTTGGGGTGTATTAATATGTCATTGTATTGGACTGTGGCAGTGACACTGGAGGCTTCAGTCAGCGGCGCACACGTGGTCCCCTACTGCCTTTTAAGACTCCCTAAATTATGTGCGATGTCCACTGGGGCTGGTAGATGTGACACAGGACAGCATGAGACTCGTGTCCTCCTCAGCTGGCAGCTGAAAGCCGAGCAAAGTCACCCAAAATGGCACTGGACTATGTATAACTGGATCAGACCCTACACATCCTACAAGTCAGGAGTATCTCCACTGAAGCCAGTGCAGTTACTGGTGTAAAGGGAAGAACAAGATGTTCACTGGGGCTTGCTCAAAGGCAATTACAGTGTTTTGCAGTTGTGTCTTCCATGTGTTTTCTCATTTTAAGGTGGACATAATTGGGCAATATGATTGTGAATTATCTGTGCCATCCGAATAGAGAGTGAGATTGCTTGTTGTCATGACAACAAAAGATGGTGAGGTGTTTACTTGAAAGTGAGTTCTGCACAAGCGTTCACATCAAGCTGTGTCTGAAGATCAGTGTTTGAAGAACTATTCTTCAGCCATTCCTGCTTTAAAATACTTGCTGTATTTGTGCAGTTTTACCCCAGGATATAGGGGAGACGGCTTTTTGAAAGCTTAACCCAGGACAGAGCATATGCTTTTATTTTCAAAAGGCACTCTTTAGTTCAGTAATGGAAATCCTACCTAGACTACAAATAGCGGCATATGGAAAAGCCAGCCAGTCAACTATCTGCTGTTTATATAAAAGGAGTTTGTAGCGAAGAGACTTCCTTTTAAAATGAATCATATGGTAACTCACTTTTATAATCCTTTAGTATCTTTTTGGCTTTAAAAGGTGTTTGGGTTTAAGAGCATGCTTTGTGATATTAATTTTATCTGACTGAGCTTTCTTTCGTGTATAAATCTGTGCTGGGGCAGAGGAGATATTATTTATTAATTCCTTGGAAGTGCCTTTTATGCAATGTATACTGAAAAAGAAGTGTGTATTTGATATTCAAATGGGGCAAACTGCTACTCTTCTCTGTGACTAAATATGCTATGTATAAAAAGAACTGTGTGAGTACTGCATACCATTAAATAGTTGCCTGACTGCCTTCTTCTTGTAGTTACCTTTTAGTATACTTTCAGCTGCTTACTGTCCAGAAGGTACATTTGGTTGTGTTCATTTAATATAAACAGAGAACGTTAACACTATTAAAGAGATTCATAAGCTGCATAGCCAGTAATATTATTTGAAATTCTTCAGTCATAAGTTTGGTTTTGATGACTAGATATTAAATATAATGATAATATGTAGCACACATATTTGTATTTTAAACGTTTGTGTTTCTGCAAGTGCATAACTGTAGTTAAGGAAGCTAGAGACAGTCAGAGAGGAGTACGGAAGAAGTTGATGAGGATGCTTAAATAGGACTTGCAGTTCTGACACGATAGGAAAATCTAGCTGAGTCGTTTTTTACATGTCCAGTGCTGCTATTTGAAATTTGAATTGGAAATGAAAAAGTTTCAGTAAGGATTTAATACATCTGAAATAATTTTTTTTTCCATTTTTTGGTTAGAGCACCTAGCTCAACTGTGTTATGGCCCAGGAGTTGGGGTGTCGTAATTCCAATTTAAAAAAAATACTGATCTCGGAAAGAACTCGACACTTTCTGAGGCAGGTCAGGACCTTGAAAAGTCAGATCTTTAGCCAGCCCTCTGCATTTTATCTCTGTGCTTGTCTCTTAAATATTTCAGTAGTCCTTTAATCAAAACAAGAATGTGTGACTTGTTACTTTGAATTATGCAGCAGGGGAAATACTATTTAGTTATTTATTTCAAGTAGCAATAATACATCAAAGATTGGTGTCAAAGGCTCCTTAGGTTAATGAGAGGGGCAATGTCAGTGATGATGAAGAAAGAAATGGGAATAGGACCAGAAAAGACAAGTGGCATGACTGGATTTGTCGGACATTTGTAAACATCAATGGCAAAACATATATTATTCATCTGTTTTTCTTGCAAGCTTAAAAATTGTGAACTTGTGCCAGTTTTCTGTGCCACTCTTCTCTGGTGTCATACCTGATGAGTTAACTATAACTCATTTCCTCTGTCAATGAGACCAACTGGCTATGTTGGTAATCCACCACATGTCTAGCACTGGTGCTCCCAGATCCTCCCTCCTCCACTGACTCCATGTATTAGCTCTGTTTGGAAAGTCTCATTGGAAATTAATTGTGTAAGACAGAGGCCAGATTCTGGCATCCCTGTCAAAGGAATGTTGGTTTTATGGGGTGCACAGGGACCTCAGTATTACTGCTTTTTCTTGTGGGTAGCCTGCAACGCTGCTAATCTGAATTGTCTCAAAAATACTGGAGTTGTTCAAGGAGTCGTTGGATGATAGCTGGCTACGTGTATGTCAAGTCAACATAACCCTGAGACTGTCAGGGTGCAGGTTATGTCTCTGGCAATGTAACAGATGACAGCAAATAAAATTACTGGACTACTTCTGAACAGGTTGGCTTGCCTCCTTACAGTGCTCATGTCTCTCCTGCACGTGCCCTTTGGTTTCCTGTATCAGACAAGCTGAGGACTGGACACGTTGTCTATCCCATCTCCAGTTCTCCCCTGCCTTAGGCAGGGTCAGTGAAGACTAGAAGGAACCAGCTAAGAAGGCACTGAAGAGGTAGCAAAGGGAGCGTGGTGTGTTGTGAGCAGGGTGCCAGGCTGAGGTGGTACCAGGGGGCGAGGAGGTGGGCTGGGAACGAGCAGACAGGCCCCTGTTCCTTTGGCTGATAGACATGGGTGATGCAAAGGGAATTTTACTCCTGTGTGCTTTCCCTTGAATCCCAGGAAGCTGAAGAATAGGAGATGGACTCTGGGAAAATACTGTAATTATGGGTAATGTTGTTTGTCTCAATTATTTAGAAGTCAAATAATTCAGTGTATGAATTGACAACTTCTTGCAACTCTGACATCCTTTCTTGAAGGTTTTCTATACTGTTTCCTGCTCTTATTACTATCTCTTCAGGGATTCCCCTTTGTATTTTACTTTCTGTTCCATAAGCGTAAAATTTGGAGAATAACCTCCCTATTGGCCAGCTGGTGCTAGGCCAGCCATCATTTTTCATAGTCCTCTGGAGCCTACCTTGGATCTTATTTGCTTGGAAGTAGTCCCATTGAGTGTAAATCTGTTACATGGCAGAAACTCTGGAGTAGGGAGCATCTTTGTTCTTTCTGGTGATAGTAAGCCTGCAAAGCAGAGCGAGATGAAGAAACCTTCTAACATATTGACATGTGACTCCTGATACATTCTCTGTACAAGAGACAAAGATATGTACAAGCCAACTGAGAAAATAACAGCTGTGATGTTGGAGAGTAAGCAAAAGAGGCTTGTTCTTTTGCTTTCTTAGCCAGGAGTAGCTGCAGTGATATGTCTGCAGTTTATAATACATTGGTTTCCATTACATCTAAGAAAGAGTTGAAGAGGTCAAGTATTGGAGTGATGATACCTGTACACACATTGTAGTTAGTGTCAACTCTTCAAGCTGCTCACATTAAATTTTTAATTTTCTTTCAGCAGTACACGTGTAAATTCACAGTCATCCAAATGTAGAAAGGAACGGGTTGCTGGGAGTTGTAAAAGAAGAGTGAATCGAGTTTTATCCAGCAAGTTAGCTACATGGGTAAGAGATGTTTCATTGTCTCTTTTTGCCTTGCAGGAAGAATGCAAACAAATACTGGCTCGGCAGAAATCTAGTTCCCAGTCTGATTCTCATGATGATGAGATTTCCCCTCCTCCTCCCAACCCAGTGGTAAAAGCCCGACGCAGGAGAGGGGGGGTCAGTGCAGAAGTGTACACGGAGGAGGATGCTGTTTCTTACGTCAGAAAGGTAATGTGTTGCCATCTATCTGATTCTGAGATGTACAGGACAATCAAGTGACTCATATTTTGCTCATCATTTGGAATCATGGGTCAGCCTCTAGGATGGTGTCCTCATGCCGTCATATGCATCACTTGACCATCTTCTTCACACTCAAGTTCTTTTGCTGCTTCTTTGACTAAGTACTTTCTCCATCAGTGTTGCTTCAGCATTCTCTATTCTTCGCTTTTTTGAGATGTACTGCTAATATGTTTCCCCCTTTAACAGGGTGGGTAATTCTCAGCCATTTTCTTGATATTCACAGACTCCGGCAGCTTCTGAGTTTTGTCAGAACTTCACAGTTTTGGAAAGCAGCCTTTTCTATTGCTGCATTTCCTGCTTTTTCTTCTAAAAAGTCACTTCTAGCTCAAGTTTTCTTCTAACCTAGGTCATTTAGGTTCCCTAGACCATTGAGACACATGGTTCCCACGTTGATTGGGTACCACCTAACCCATGGGTTTTTGGAAGTCTATTGACCATACTTGGGCAATTTTATGTGACCATTGTCTTTGAAGAAATGCCAATCCCAAATTAGGTAATTTCTTCAGTAGGAGCACCAATTTGGGCTTCTCTTTTTTTAACTGCCTTTTTCACAAAAGTATCTAGCTATGTTATATCATTGATCTCTTAATAACTCTTCAAATTTTATTTGAAACTGGCCAAAGCTTTCAAAGGTTATTAAAAAACAGACATTACAATAGCATATGTCATGTTTGTTTAGGGAGCTAGGCTAAAAATGCATTTCATAAGGTTGACAGATGCTACTAATGTGCTTTTGTATGCCTGGAGTAGCTTTAACCCAAAGAGCTTTTTCTTTATGGGAATACATTTTGTCAGTCACTGGTTTTTGGCAGAATAGTTTTTGCCTTTGCAGTCAGATGTGCTTTTGTCATCCACTTATGATACAAGTTCATTGGCTGCTCTGGGGATTTCTGTCCCAAGAAACAAAGAATTAGGAGAGCCTTTCATCCTAAAAACAAGTCTGGAGGAGTATTTTTGTGGCAGTTAAATAATGCTTGCAAGTATACAGTAAATTTTAACAGCACTGTGGTCAATCTATTAATGCACTGCACTGTTAAAAAACTTGCATGATATTTTAAAAGCCACTTTCAAACACTTTTCTTTCTGTGCAGTTTGCAATATCCCCCTTAAAAACTTCCATGAAGAGATCACATTTGTCTCTGTTTAATATGGGCTCCATCTGACTCTTCTGAAAATCAAAGGAAATATTCCTTCCCACACCCCTGAGTAATTCTTTTATGTTTATAATGGAAACTGAAGTTAACTTTGTTTTCTTCCTTTTTCAACAGTGATGCCAATAAGCCCTGACAGTAGCATGGGTAGTCAAGAGCCAGAAGAAGCAATACAGATCATATTTTGTGTGTTCTGTGACTAGGGCTGTTACGATTTTAATTTCCTAGAAACTAACTGAGCCTAAATAATAGTAATTTAGGGGATGGTTTCTTGTCAGCTACAGATGCTGCAAGGAATATAGAACTAGCACTGGGAGGGTTTGTGTCAGTGCTTTGTCGTCTCCCGTCAGCAAATGAATCCCATGGTGAATCCCATGGATATGTGTTTGTGACAGAGACTTCAAGAATACAGAAATAAAGGGAGACACTGAAAGGACAAATTATGAAATTAATTTAAAAGTGTAAAAAGCAAGGCAAGGGTTGTGTTAGACTGTTGCAAACAGATGGATTTTTAGATAGTAGCCAGGAAGAACCACTGGCTTGAATTCAGGTGTTGGATAGAAACACATCTGGGTCATAAGCCGATTTAAAGGAACCTTTAAGGGGTGAACTATAGGATGAGTAGTGCTAAAGGCAGCGCAATGAGTTATGTCACTGGAGAGAAAATCAAAGGAGATTTAGCTTTGTGATTTGAGCAAGCACCTGGCATGGCTCCATTCTGAGGAGCACAAAGGAAGATCTCTGCAGAGGGTTATTTCATTGCTTCATTCCTGAAACTAGAGAAAGCAATATTTGTCAACACATCTGACATAACATATAGTTAACAACTAATAGAATAGGAATCTTGCTGTGAAGAGGGTTATCAGCTTGAAGAGAGCATTCAGTGATTACTTGGAAGAGTGATGTAAGAAATGGTCAAGTGATTCTTCCCAACATTTGATTTTGGTTGGATGCTTGGTTACTGTGACACCTAAAGAATCTCTCCTGTGTTTTCTGTGTCCCTGCCCCAACACACCCACTTTGGTCTCTGCCTTGTGGCTTTCATTGCTGCAGATTTAGACTGAGAAAGGCTAGTCTACTATTCCATAGTCAGCCAGAAAGGTTGGAGTTGAATGTCTTAGTGATTTGATTATCTACCCTTTTCGCCCATCAGCAGTAAGCTGAACAGCTACAGTATTCTTAATAGAGCAAGGATTTAGGACTGTGATTCAATCCAGGGTTTGTTTGATGCGGTAAAAACCAAGAATAAACTGGCCAAATGCTCATTTTATTTAACATCAAGGAATTCAAACTTTCAGTTAAATTAGATTATGTTTCACTCTGAGACAAATATGCAGTTTATACATACACACTTTTCTAAACTTGATTTGAGGAGTCTAATGGCTACAGCAGTCAATATAAGGGATGTCTGAAGCCAGAGTTTATAGATCTTCACAGTGCAGTGTTTTCCCTTGAAATAAATTTAGATCAATTCTTTGTGAGACCTGGTTCTATATTAGTTTTCCCATTTGAGACATCCTTCTTCTGGTTGGATGGGTAGTATCTTGCCTTTCCAGGATGAGGAAAGGAAACTACCTACACATCAGCATAGGTAGTAACTTAAATAAGGCAGAAATACTATTTCTAGCGTAAGAAAATGTGAAAGATAAATGTCCATTATCAGATGTTTTTTGTACAGTAATTAAACAGGCAAACAGATGTTGATCTTCAGATTGGAGTAAGGTTTATTTAACACTTAAGACTTTCGCTAGGCTTTATTCTGTCCTGTTATAATGAAAATATTAAGGAAAATCACATTACTAAAGTCAAAGAACATGTCACAAGTAATAACCTTGTTACAAATTTCTTGCGTCTCTCATAATCACGAAGTCTCTGACTGGCAGAAGTAGATGCTTGGCAAATACAGAGATACAGTGTCTTTACTAGTATCTTGCTTACCAAAATGGAAAGCCTAACTTGCAAAAGTCTTATAAAAAAAGTCACTCAATATGAAAACATACTCCTGAATTTCAACATATATTTTGAGCAAATTAATGTACAACAAGACTTTTGCCTTCTCCCCAGTTAACAAATAAAAATGCCTCTTCATTCTCAAATGCAAGTCCTTCTCATTTGCCATGAAGCAAATGCACAGGATTTCAACCCAGGTGGGCCTCTCAGGAGCTCCGTTCCTTCTATCACAACTGGTACTGAAAAGTATGGTCTAATCAACACATTTTTACCTTTTACCTGAAGAAACGCAGATGACACCAAGTTGGGCGGGAG